CCGAGTTTAAAGACTATTAATGAATGACAAATAAATTATATCTACTCGGGTAATCACTAAAATTAAATATTTAACGTCAATGTTATTTGTATTCACCATAATCAAATTGTATTATGGTATAATAGATGTAAAAAATTTCTATATTTTTCTTCTTCTCCATCACCAAAATTTTTGTTTCTTCACATCTAAGAAACTAAGTTAAGAGACTATAAATGAATGACTCATAATTTATACATATGCATAACAATTAAAATTAAGTAATCAAGCTCAATATTGTGTTTATTCATCATATTCACATTGACTTATGGTATGTTACATCTAAAAGTATTCAATATTATTCTTCACCATCCCAAAGTGTTAGGTTTTTTTTATCACTAAGCAATGAAAATAATAGACTATAGTAGATCTAAAAAATTAATTATATTTTATTTTTCTACTCCATCACAAAATTTTATATTTTGCCCCACTAAAAAACAAAGTTGAAAGACTATAATCCACGAATTATATTTTATATAATATAGGTAAAAATTAAAATTAAATAATCAAGCACAAATTTATTTATATTTACCATTTTCACATTGAATTATGGTAGATTTGATGTAAATTTATTCAATATGTTTCTTCTCCATCACCAAATTTCACGTTTCGTCGTCAGTAAGCGACAGAGTTAAAAGACTATTAATGATTGACAAATAAGTTATATCTACTCGGGTAATCACTAAAATTAAATATTTAACCTCAATGTTATTTGTATTCACCATAATCAAATTGTATTATGGTATAATAGATGTAAAAAATTTCTATATTTTTCTTCTTCTCCATCACCAAAATTTTGGTTTCTTCACATCTAACAAACTAAGTTAAGAGACTACAAATGAATGGCCCATAATTTATACATATGCATAACAATTAAAATTAAGTAATCAAGCTCAATATTGTCTTTATTCATCGTATTCACATTGACTTATGGTATATTATATCTAAAAGTATTCAATATTATTCTTCACCATCCCAAAGTTTTATGTTTTTTTTCACTAAGCAACAAACATAATAGACTATAGTAGATGTAAAAAATTAATTATATTTTATTTTTCTACTCCATCACAAAATTTTATATTTTTCCCCACTAAAAAACAAAGTTAAAAGACTATAATCCACGAATTATATTTTATATAATATAGGTAAAAATTAAAATTAAATAATCAAGCACAAATTTATTTATATTTACCATTTTCACATTGAATTATGGTAGAGTTGATGTAAATTTATTCAATATGTTTCTTCTCCATCACCAAATTTCACGTTTCGTCGTCAGTAAGCGACAGAGTTAAAAGACTATTAATGAATGACAAATAAATTATATCTACTTGAGTAATCACTAAAATTAAATATTTAACCTCAATTTTATTTGTATTCACCATAATCAAATTGTATTATGGTATAATAGATGTAAAAAATTTCTATATTTTTCTTCTTCTCCATCACCAAAATTTTGGTTTCTTCACCTCTAAGAAACTAAGTTAAGAGACTATAAATGAATGACCCATAATTTATACATATGCATAACAATTAAAATTAACTAATCAAGCTCAATATTGTCTTTATTCATCGTATTCACATTGACTTATGGTATATTACATCTAAAAGTATTCAATATTGTTCTTCACCACCCCAAAGTTTTAGGTTTTTTTTTTCACTAAGCAACAAACATAATAGACTATAGTAGATGTAAAAAATTAATTATATTTTATTTTTCTACTCCATCACAAAATTTTAGATTTTTCCCCACTAAAAAACAAAGTTAAAAGACTATAATCCACAAATTATATTTTATATAATATAGGTAAAAATTAAAATTAAATAATCAAGCACAAATTTATTTATATTTACCATTTTCACATTGAATTATGGTAGATTTGATGTAAATTTATTCAATATGTTTCTTCTCCATCACCAAATTTCACGTTTCGTCGTCAGTAAGCGACAGAGTTAAAAGACTATTAATGATTGACAAATAAGTTATATCTACTCGGGTAATCACTAAAATTAAATATTTAACCTCAATGTTATTTGTATTCACCATAATTAAATTGTATTATGGTATAATAGATGTAAAAAATTTCTATATTTTTCTTCTTCTCCATCACCAAAATTTTGGTTTCTTCACCTCTAAGAAACTAAGTTAAGAGACTATAAATGAATGACCCATAATTTATACATATGCATAACAATTAAAATTAACTAATCA